TTGTTCCCACTTTATGTAAACTTATTTTTCGACTTATATAGCAGCTTGCCCATGGTGGAAACTCGGTCCTATCTAAACGATCTAGAGTCACTGAATGGTTGAAAATTGAATGCTACCACCAAATACGAATACTGAAACAGCTTTTCTGAAACCACTTGCACCATCCAAACTGAGTGCCTTCAACGTTCGCACACTAATGCAGGTCGGACAACAGATAGTGTAGGTTATGTCTTTAGAAAGCCTTAATATCGATGTTTATTGTCTATCAGAGACCCGTATTCAGGACTCTGGTGAAGTACTACAAATTCGCTCTCCCTCTGTCGCTTCAAAAAGCTCGTTCTACGTGCGTCTATCCGGGGACCCTGTGGCGTCTTCGTCTGGCCTTTCTGGCGTTGTTGTCGCACTAAGCGCTCGAGCTGAGGCAGCACTAATCGATTGGATCCCCATTAACAGTCGATTATGTGCTGTTAGATTAAAAAGTTCCATCAACGTGAGAAAAAATCGGCGTGAGAAACGATGTATTTTCTTCACCTCCGCCTATGCCCCGACAGATTGCAGCCCGAATGCAATCAAGGATGAATTCTGCCACCACATACTCACATGCATCAATCGTTTTACAACATGGCCCGAAGTCAAGGGCGGCGTGGTCTGCTGATCTGGACGTGAGGCTGAAGTCTCGTCCGTAGATGGTGCAAATGGCACGTGCTGTTGACCGGGACATGAGAATGAGGTCTCTGATGTATCTAGCGTGGGACCTGAAGTAGATGTAAGGATCCTGCCAGTAGGTTTGATAGGTCTAGCATTGGGTCTCAAGTTATCGAGTAGGACACTGTCATCGAAGTGTGCTGGTTTGAGACGATCAATGCTGACGATCTCGACGCGGCCATGTCGATCAACCTTGAAGGTCTTTTCGAGATCGTTACTGTGGTGTGGAAAATTCCCCAGGCAGACGCAATGTCGTGCCATATACAAGTTCAGCGGCTGCCTTTAAGCTCGTTCTGATACTTAAAAGGACGAGCGGTAAGGTTTCGTACCAATTGTCGTTTTCGTGTGCTCGAAGAGCACTTTTAAGTTGTCGATGAAACCGTTCAACTAAACCATTTGATGCTGGGTGGTAGGCGGTAGTGCGTATGCGTTCCTTACCAAGCAGCCGGGTCAGTGAGGAAAATAATGCGGACTCGAATTGTTGTCCTCGGTCACTCGTGACAGTCGAGTGACAACCGTACAGCGCTATCCATCGTTCTACGAAGCGGTGAGCTACTGTCTCCGCCGTAATAGACGTGATGGGAATAGCTTCGGGCCATCTTGTAAAACGATCGATGCACGTGAGTATGTGATCGTAATTGTAGGTTCACCATTTGTACGAACACGCCAATCGCAACCAAACCTTCTTAAAAAGTCAATTGCGGTGAGTCTGTTACTTATCTATCCACGTCTGTCGCATATTTTCATATTGATATTTTTCAATATATAATATTCTGGCAATAACTCGACATGGCGGATAGCAATAAGAATATTATTAATGTAATAGACTCAGACGTACAGGCCATCCACTTTCGACCTGTCTCATTTATTCCACACGACCCAGAGGTCTGGTTTGCCGCATTGGAGTCTCAATTCGACACCCGCCGCATCACGAGCCAAGGGCAAAAGTATGCCTACGCCCTCGAATCATTACCCGGAAACCATATAGTGTCTGTCCGTGAGGTTGTCCACAATTCCAAAATATACCTAATGCTTATGATCGTCTCAAAGAGGCAATTCTCGGACATTTCCTCCCATCGAGGGAGGAACGATTGAGGACATTATTAGCACGTCACCCTCTGGGTGATGCTAAGCCGAGCCACCACCTCATGCGCCTGCAATCTATTGCAAGACCTACGGCAGCCGACTGTGAAATTATTAAAGAACTGTGGCTCGAATCATTACCACAATATATCCAACCTACAGTTACGGCCCTGCTCGAGGACTCACCACTCCATCAGGTGGCCCTCATAGCAGACAAAATACTAGCGAGGACTAGCAACAAAGACCACTACATTGTAGTCTCAACGGCACGTACGATTGTAGACATAGACGCTAGTCACTCCTCGGCTCAAGGTGATATGGGCGCTTGTATTCACACACGTCTTAGTTTTCAAGATCGTTGTAACGTACTCGAACCCTACGTCCCTCGAGCCCGTTCACGCTCCCGAAAAGCCATCACCACCCGCCCAACGAGAGCATCTTCCAAGCCACGCCGAAAGGCGGCTTCGAAAGCGAGTGGAGGTTGGTGCTAGTCCCACCGATCCTTCGGTCTGGTGCCCGCCGTTGTCGAGCCCCGTGCTCATACAAGGCGGGAAACTCCAGGGTCGGCGAGTAAAGGCGGCCGTGCTCGCCGGCCCTTCACCCCAGGTTGGCCGTTTATTCTATGTGCACGATTATCGCACAAACGCTAGGTACCAAGTGAACAATGGTGCCCAAATTTCTGTCGTACCTCTTGGTAACAACAACGCTCCGACTACGCTCTGCGAATGGCTCAGCCATTCCTACCTATGGTACACGACAACTCGCGGGCAACCTGCGCAACCGACGACGGTATCTGTAGACGTTCACCATTGCCGATGTTCCCACAGCTGTACTAGGTATCGATTTCCTACAGCACTACGAATCGCTAGTCGATTCACGTAGGCTGCAGCTAATCGATACTTCGTCGAACAGCGAATTCATGGGCTGCAAAGCTCACACAAACGCGTACCGAATCCTAGTCACCTTTCATTCGCGTGACGATAAATTCCACGCTTTATTCGAGAAATTCCTCAAATTAACTAAACCACTCGGGGAGATTTCATCGGTGACCAATCGTGTGGTACACCACGTAGTCACCCGCGGATCCCCAGTTACGGCAAGACCACGCCGACTGGCACTGGACAAGTTAGCTTTCGCTAAACGTGAGTTTGACAATTTACTAGCTTCTGGTATTATTCGTCCTTCTCACAGTCCTTGGGCCTCACCTCTTCACATGGTGCGCAAAAAAGATGGGGTTAGCTCAAGACCATACGGCAGCTACCGAGCATTAAACGTAGTTACACGCTTCAATAGCTATCCCATCCCCCACATACACGACATCACGGCGTCGCTCAAGGGCATGACTATGTTTTCTAAGATCGATCTGGTACAAGCATATCATTAAATCCCATTCGATCTTGAAGATATTGAGAAAAACGCTATCACGACTCCTTTTGATCTGTTTGAGTTCCTACGAATGCCATTTGGATTACGGAATGCTGCTCAAACTTTCCAAAGGTTTATCGATAGCATAGTACGAGACTTAGACTTTGTTCACGTCTATATTGATGACCTAATCGCATCATCAAACGTAGATGAACATTATCAACATCTTACACTCTTATTGCAACGTCTCTCGAATAATGGAATAGTAGTCAACCCAGACAAGTGTGAATTGGGCAAATCGGAAATAATGTTTTTGGGTCACATCATTAAGCAAGAGGGTATTTTACCTTGTGAGGACAAAGTACGTGCAAAAAGAGAGTACACCATACCACCCACGCTCAAGGAACTGAAGGCATTTCTTGGTTTGGTTGACTTCTACCGTCGTTTCATCCCACACGCGGCAGAACGGTTACGACCATTAACTGATTTATTTCGCGGTGATCCACGCAAATTAGAATTAAACGATGCCGCACGTACTGCATTTTCAGAGATCAAAACAGCTCTGGCTGAAGTTATACTCCTCGCTCATTCTGACCCATCAGCCACGCTTAGTATAGCGGTTGATGCATCGGATTTTGCTATAGGAGTCGTTATGCAACAGAACATCTTCGGTAGTTGGCAACCTCTCGAATTTTTCTCACGACCCCTTATTTCCACGTAGACGAGATATAGCGCTTTTGGTCGAGAGCTGCTAGCAGCCTACTGTGCCACCAAACATTTCCGGCACACAGTAGAAGGTCGCCATTTCATCTTATTTACCGACCACAAGCCTTTAACGTATGCTCTGAATACCAAATCTGACCGTTACTCACCTTGAGAATGCAGACATTCGGACTATATCTCTCAGTTCACGACAGACCTTCGTCACATCAAAGGCGAGTTGAACTACGTTGCTAATGCTCTGTCACGTATCCAAGTGAATGCAGTTACTTCACCGGTGCTCGATCTTCCTGCTATGGCTGCCGCTCAAGCAAACGATCCTTTTTGTACAGAGCACTACAATCTACATCCCTTCAGTGTCAGGAAGTACCCCTAGCTATTAGCTCAGGTACTATCCTACGTGATACTTCTACCGGTCTTCCCCGACCCATCGTACCCTCTGCTTACCGTCGTCTCATTTTCGATGCCCTGCATGGATTGTCTCATCCAGGTATCGCATGGACAACTGTTAGTAATCAGTTGTATCTTCTGGATGAAGGCTTTCGTAGTTCTTCAGTTTTCCGCGTCATACAGTAGAACTGTCTTGACATTTGTATTGAAAATTCTGACCTTGGTGTTGGTTGACAGTTGCTTTGAGTTCCAGATGTTCTTCAGTTGTAAATATGCTGCTCTTGCCCTGTCGATCTGCACCTTCACATTTGAATCAGATCCACCGTGTTCATCAATGATGTAAAGGTTATTACATCTTCCAAAGCTTCTCCGTCAAGTGTGATTTGATAGGTGTATACTGTGTCGTATCAGAGAATTTTACTTTTCCCTTTATGTATATTGAGATCTACTGCTGCTACTTCACTGTTCGTCTTCTCTTGTATTTGTTGTTGTGTGTGTGCGATAAAAGAGTCAAATCATTTGCAAAGTCTAGATTATCCAGCTTCATCCTAGCTATCTACTTAATCCCATGTCCCCCCCTCCTAGATATTGACATCTTCATAATTCAGTCGATCACCAGTAGAAATCAATTACTATAATCACTAGGCTATTCATTTTTATTATTTCTATGCACAATTCACATGAGAACTACTATTCGTTACTTCTTTTTCAATTGTTTTTTTTTTCTTGTTTCCTAGTGAAATTGCATTTGTTCGTTATTTATCTAATACTTATGGTTTAAATTCAATTCAATCCGATGTATTATATCAAAATTTTAATTCATATTATATGGGTTATTATATTCATTCATGTTGTAAAATGTCATATAAATCACAATATGGTCCTGCTTATTTAGCATGTTCTGAAACCTATAATTGGATACCTATTAATCATTGTGTACAATTATTAAATCAATTAAAGTTAAATAATCATTATACAAGATTTTCATCTCTATCTTCAATTGATATAAATTCAATTCCTGTTACTATGGATATAGATACATTGGATTCACATATTTATTTTTATATAAAGTACAATGATAATACATCGTTGTCGTCGTCGTCATCGTCATCGTCGAAGACAATCAGTAGTAAAGAAGATTTCATGAATCATACACCAGTATCTCTTTATAATTTACGTTCATATTTAAATAAACAAGTTATTCCTATATTTCGTGAATGGGCTAAATTATTAGGTAAACGTGTATTATCTGGACATTTTCAAATTATTATACATTCAAATTAATAATAATAATATGCTGATGATGATGATAATGGTTACCATGGTGATCACAATTAATGTGAAGAATAAATAGACAATAATACTTGGTAAGGATTATGTTTGATAATTATTTATTTATTTATTTATTATTATTATTATTGTTGCTACTTAATTAATATTTTTTTATCGCTGAACTGATATTATTTCCCCACGCCACGCCACCCTACCCCCCGAAAAAAAATAACGATCATCATTATTCATGAAAAAAGAAACCAGGCATTTTTGGCAATATAATTATGTTATTGTGTTTCATTTTAAAACGATATCTATTTTTTCTTTGTAAACTAATTCATACATATACCGCGGTCTATATCAACAGTAGTAGTAGTAGTTAATGCATCACTTACAGAAGTGTAAATGATATTGTAGTGTATACTACTGATATCGATAGATATAAGTAGTAGGTATCATCAATAGACAGTAAAATGCTTGATGGCAGATGGTTAAGAAGAGAACGACAACAGAGAATGATTGATATGGAAATGAAGGGACAATGAAGTTTGAGACGATTAATTGACATTTTACAAATACAGTATTTATTGTATGGTTCTTAGATTCTGTAATTTTATATTCAAATACATTTGGTTGTTCCTATTTGTGTTCTCGTTCATTACAATAGAAGTATTTACAGTACGAAATTGTTTTGAATGTTATACGTGATTATTAAATAGTGAAACACGCCAAATAAATAATTAAGTTAACATATGTACTATCTTTTTTACGATATACGATTAAATAAATCCGTTGGTGGATACGGAAGATTCTTACGTTATTTATTTATTTATTTTAACACTTAGATATTGGTACAAGGAGGCATCAAATACATATGCGCCACATAAATCATTCGATTTGTGTGAGTACTGGGATACTGCCCGGGTGACCAAACCGAAGCAGGCGGTTTTCTTAGGGGACCACTCTCCGAGCCTTCGACCTGAAGGTCTGATCCACAAGGCAGTGGAGCATCGTAAAGAGATGCAGTCCCATGGAAGCCGGTGACCAACAATTAGTTCATACACCATTTGTTCCTTCAGGATACTGGAGCCCATGTGCACCATTGGTTTTGAATCCGGTTAAAGCGCCGGACATTCTCTTTTCGTCCTCTCAATTTCGTAAACAACACCAGTGATGCGAGAAAGCAGTGAGTAGGACTTCCCTGGCACAGGTTGTATGCGCATGGCCGTGTGAGAGCATTTCGAGACGGAGGGCGGGCCCACCCCACTCTCGGCCTCTCTAGGGCATTTGGGGCATTGCATATTTTGTACGCTGCCAACTAAAAACATGAATAAAACTTCTTTTTCTGTGAACAAACATTTGTAAATTTTCCATGCTAATCAGTGGCGTGTGCGTGCCGTCAAAACGGCGTATACATAGTAATTATTGTACATCATGTATTAACATAATGCCAATAACCTATTAAGAATTTAATAGTGCACTTTTTCCCTGCTTAGTGACTCCCTAACTGCCTAATATGGCAGCTGGTTCAAACATACTGAGTGTGGGACAAAGTATATTATTATTCACAGACATCTTATGGGTGCATAAGTGTTGTGAAGAAACCATTTCGTGTTTCTACAAAAATGCAATAATACACAAGTTCCAATAACGTTAGCATTATATCTTAAATGTCAAGTTGATAAAAGGTTCCTGGAGGAGTATCTGGACTGACGTTACAAATCGGTCGGGATTTATGAGCGAGTAATTACTAAGTTCTGTACAAAATTTCTGTATATGTACTTCGTCAGAAGTACTACAAATGATGAACGATTTCTAGAAGATTTACGCCTAGATCACTTTGAAATCAAGATAAAAGAATTACTCGATATCATATGACTTGTTTAACAAACCAGTCGAAGTGTGTGCAATTATTTGTGACGACGATCAAACCTGAAAAGGTAACTAGTTGGAATAGGGCCACTAGGATGAGCGTAGTTGGGGCTTTGGGAATTAGTGTATAGGACTCATGAAGAAAATAGATCGCAAAATGTCTAGATATCTTAGGTTAATTACACTTCAGTTGAGGAAGTAGTCATATAATGGAATTTCCGCTAAAAATATTATTTGCTGACATGCTTTGAAAATAGATTGTTGTAAATGGTATCCTACTCACATAGTAATGTATATATGGTCCTTGTTTTTGGGTTGAAACACCGAAAAGCCTTAGTATATTTACTCCAAAAGATTGGTCCATCTGGAAAGCTTTATTAAATGTTGTGATTATATATTTGATGAACTGCTTCAGGTGTAGATTGAACAATTACGTACACCTAGAAAGACCGCCACCTTATCAATAGATGGTTGGAAATTTAGTGTTTAGAAACAGGCTCCTGAGAACGAACAAATAACTGGGTTGGACACCAAATACATATTTATTAGGGAAAAGCGTTTAACAATCGTCTCCGAATATAAGTATTACACTACAAATCATTTCAACAATTTAACCGATAAACCAGCCAAATAAAAGTTCATGAATTCAAATAGTCAACGGATTCGGTGTTCTATTTTATGTTCACTCCAGCTTTGCCAAATATCTTATATTTCTCTTCTGTATTGAAGATTTGGGATTCGAACGAAAAGAATTTGTTGATCTTAGAGACTATTACAAAGAACTACAAGACTAACGATTGAATTAGCACTTCGCTTAATATCAATGTGGTTGGCTCAGAATGAAAAATACACAGATACATAAACGTTTGTTAACAGGTATTCGTCATATGCTAACAAAGAATAAGAAAAAGAGAATTCAGCGAAGAAAGTTTTCTTTTCGACGAAATCATTTACTTAAACTGTACATTCGTATATATAGTTAGATATGGAAAATGTATGTCTATAGGAGGATAGAAAAAACTGCATCACAAAAATGGATTCAAGGATAAATAACAAATGAGGTACTAATCAAGGGGTAAGGAAGAAAATCGTTGATAATATCCGATCCTGTTAAATTCTCTAAAGAAACCGTTCAAAAAGACACAACTGAAATAACGGAATTGTTACTGATTAATAAAATACTAAGGAAGATGAAAGATGAGTCTAATATTAATTATGATTTCTTTAAATATCTTAAACCTTCTGGTTCCGTTGTACTAAGATTATATGGACTCCAAAAAGTTCATAAGAATAATGTCCCTCTACGTCCTATACTTAATATGAACAAGTCTCCATGTCACTTGATTGCTAAATGGTTAGTGGACATTTTACAACCTGTTAAAAATATCAATAAATATAACTCTCTTGATCCCTTTGACTTTGTCGAATCAATCAAAAATCTCAACGTAATTGGTAAGAAAATGATCTCATTAGATGTCACTTCGCTTTTTACAAATGTTCCTCTCACAGAAACTATATGTTTTTTATGTGACTATATTGAAAACAACAACCAATCTGGAAAATTCTGTACTTCGTCCAATAATTGAGAGATTTCATCTACATAAGAGATATATGGATGATATTCTCATTATTTGTGAAGAAGACATGGACCCAGATGAAATTTTGGAAAGTTTCAATAACTACCACCCCTCGATTCAATTCACCTTAGAAGCAGAGGCAAATAATGAATTTCATTTTCTTGATGTCCGATTAAAAAGAATACCTGATGGTTTTTTACAGTGATCTACATATAGAAAACCTACTTGGAATGGGCAGTACACTAATTTCCATAGTTGGGTCGCATTGAGTAGAAAGAGGAACTTAATTCACTCCTTATCCTCTAGGATCAAGCAAATCTGTTCTACTGACACAATAGATGAGGAACTAATTCAACTCCTACAAACTCTCATCAGAAACGGTTATCCACCTAGATTTGTCGATAGTAACTTAACACCGAGAATTCATCATGAGAAAGTATCGACGGTACAAAAGAAAACCCTGTTCATGAATATGGAATTTAAAGGAGACACGGCTGCTGAAATCTTAAATAGACGGATTTCAAAATCAAGCCTCGAATTGTCTTCTCAAGCCGGCCTACCATTCCTGGATGCGTTAAAGATAAACTTTCGCTTTGGGCCACATCAGTGTGTATTTATAAATTTACGTGCTCGTGTGGGGCTCGTTATATAGGCCAAATAAAGCGATCACTTTCCAAACACATTTCAGAACACTATCCAGCTTGGCTTTTAAAAGGAGAATGTAAGACAATCACTAGTTCTATACAGGAACATTTAATCAATTTTGGACACACCGCTCCCAAGTATTCTTTTAAAGTGATCTATAGAGTCAAAGGGATTGGATCGAAGGGGTGTCGAATCAATATTTTATGCACTGCCGAGACACTGGCAATTCACGAACTCAGGTCCGAACTTTGTGTGCAGAAACGATTTATGCAACCTCTCACCCTTCCTTAACCCTAATTTCTTTAATGGGTATGTCTCGGTTTTTGTTTTGTTTTTTCTGCACTTTTATTTGATTGTTATCGAACTTTTTAAAAAAATTACTATTTTGCATTTTAAACTCTAATTAGTGGTTATTATTACCTTATACAAGTTTTCTTGAGTATTATTCAGTCTATTATTATGACCTTTGTGTTTGTCGCTTTTCTTCATATTCGTCAATTGGACTATTATCTGACTCATAAACGATTTCCTTCTCCTTACCCCTTGGTTAGTACGTAACCTCATTTGTTATTTATTGGTGATGCAATATTTCCTGTCCTACTATAGACATACATTTTCCATATCTAACCATTTATACGAATGTACATTTTAAGTAAGTGATTTTGTCGATAATAAAAAATAAATGAATTAAGACTTACTTACTTACGCCTGTTACTCCTCGTGAAGGAGCATAGGCCGCTCACCAGCATTCTCCATCCAACCCTGTCCTAGGCAATTGTTTCCAGCTCCTTCCAGTTGTAATTCATCCTTTTCATATCTGCTTCTATTTCCCGACGTAATGTGTTCTTTGGCCTTCCTCTTTTCCGCTTCCCTTCAGGATTCCAAGTTAGAGCTTGCCTTGTGATGCAGTTTGACGATTTGTGTAATGTATGTCCTATCCATTTCCATCGTCTTTTCCTAATTTCCTCTTCAGCTGGAAGTTGGTTTGTTCTCTCCCACAGAAGGCTATTGCTGATGGTATCCGGCCAATGGATGTTGAGTATCTTGCGTAGACAGCTATTTATAAATACTTGTACTTTCTTGATTGTGGTTGTTGTAGTTCTCCAAGTTTCAGCTCCGTACAGTAGGACTGCCTTGACGTTCGTATTGAAGATTCTCACTTTGATATTGGTTGAAAGTTGTTTTGAGTTCCATATGTTCTTCAATTGTAGGAATGCGGCCCTTGCTTTGCCAATCCTCGCCTTTACGTCTGCATCTGAACCTCCTTGTCCATCGACGATGCTTCCTAGGTATGTGAAGGATTCTACATCTTCCAGAGTTTCGCCATCAAGAGTGATTGGATTGCTGTTCTCCGCTTTGAATTTGAGGACCTTGGTTTTCCCTTTGTGTATACTGAGGCCTACTGATGCAGAGACTGCTGCTACATTGGCTGTCTTTATCTGCATCTGTTCGTGTGTACGCGATAGGAGGGCTAGGTCATCTGCGAAGTCCAGATCGTCTAATTGATTCTGAGCTGTCCATTGTATTCCGTGTTTTCCTTCAGATGTTGAGGTCTTCATAATCCAGTCGACCACCAGAAGA